ACAGTCATGTACATTTTTACTGGTCTTCTGCCCTGCGGTATCATCGCCAAGGCATAATCATGTGCTTCGTGAACAACATTTAGCACATTGTTAAGAATCATCACATGTGGTGAGACCCTCAATGCCCCCCAAACTTGCCCAGCCTCTGCAGTGCATGGATCTAGTCGTGCACACCCAAGGTGTCACAAGCAGTGTCTAATGGCCCCCACAGCCAAGGTCTAACCTACGACACCCCCTGCACAACCCGGGTATACTCACCTAGCACAGCTGTTACTGGTGGTTCTGGTTATGTTTTTCATACTACCTAGAGGTTGTAGCCTATAATCAACAGGTGTATGGCCGCCGTCCACCCCTCTACCTGTAGTCATCAAGTAATCCCCTTTCCAGTTGCATTCTAGTTATGGCGTTAATATGAACTAGAGGTTCTAGCCTATCAGCAGTAGGTGTACGAACACCATCTGCCCCCCTGCCTTAACAACCAAGTAGAACCCTCTTATGGTTGTACTGCTGTTGTTGTGTTGCTCGTTGTTTTATCATCTGGGGGTAATCTAGCCTCTATCATTGATAGGTACATGGCCACCACCTATCCCCCTTCCTCTGTCTTCAACTAGACTCCTCCAGTCATTGTAGTTGTATCTGTCATCACCCAGAGCTTCTCAGGTCTCGGTCATTAGAAGGTACATAACACCATCCACTCCCATAGCTCTGTCAGCAACTGGGCCCAGTCTGGTCTATTTGTTATGGGGAGCAGACAATCTCTCCACTACAAATCCCCCTCTTGACCATCCCACCTGCGACCCTACCCCCCAAAGCAAGGCCCCAAGGTAACCAACTACATGATCATCCATTGCACTGCAGCGACTGCGCCTACTTGGCAAGTCCCTGTCTGCACCCCAGCTATATCAGTACTATGTAATGCACAGGGCCGATGGAAATTGAACCCTGGACCTCCAGCCCTGCAGAACCCTAGCTCAACCCACTGAGCTACTAGATCAACTGATCTGTCTATGTGCTGTACAACGCTGTGAAACAAGTATGTGGTCGCCAACCTAGCACCAAGTGCCTGTGCGCGGGGGAGGTTGAGGACCGACACAATCGAACCCACAACCTCCCCATTACGACACCAGAGCTCTAACCCACTGAGCTACCACAGTCCTTCCTGTTCTAAGTCTCGGCATGTGGGTGTCTGTTCTCAGTTTAGTAACTTCAGTTGTATTTAGCTTGCTTTGTTTTCAATTGCTGCATCATCTAGTAGTGTCATACCAGTTCTCCTTTGAGTCAGTTCGTTTTGTCCAGGTCTAAACTGTATTTTCCTGGGCTGGTTCAGCAACCGGCCGGTTCACCTCCCCTGGTCCCCCCAGATCCGGACCAACCCAGGAGGCTGCATCATCTAGTGGTGTCATACCAGTTCTCCTTTGAGCCAGTTCGTTTTGTCCATGTCTAAACTGTATTTTCCAGGGCTGGGTCAGCAACCGGCCGGTTCACCTCCCCTGGTCCACCCGGATCCGGACAACCCAGGAGGGTTGAACCGGGAAACCGTTTTTTTTAATTTTTTCTTTTTTCTTCTTCTTTTCCTTGTGGATTCCGATTGCGCTCTTCACGAGCTGTCGAAATCCACAATAAAATTTTGAAGGTGCAATTTTTTTTCGGGGGATTTCCTGGGAGGGGGGAAGGTAATTATTGGGATATTCAGGGAGGTATGGCTTTCCGTCGGAGGAGTCGAGTAAGCAAGTACACTTATTGGACCTCCCCGTGGTCCAAGACCTTCAATTCAACACCATAGGATGTTGTGGACCAACGCCCCACAGGCTGAACGAGATTTGCTAAGAGGAGGTACTTGCCAAACTTATAGCTCTTCCAGAGTATAGGTCGAGTAAGCAAGTTCCCCTATCGGACCTCCCTGTAGCCCAAGACCTTCAATTCAACACTATAGGATGTCGTGGACCAACGCCCCACAGCCTGAACGAGACATGCTAAGAGGAGGTACTTGCCAAACTTATAGATCTTCCAGAGTATAGGTCGACAGCAGAAGAGTTACGGGTTCAGGTTTCAACTCGTGCAGCTAGATCGTTTTCTGTTTGTTTTTTCCTACGTAGGGTGGGTCATCAGTCCGGAAGTATCTTGCATCGTAGTCCGTCCAGATACATGCAGTGGAGTGAGGTCCATTCTTGATAGATTGAGAGAAGAATATAGCTTAGGTCCATTCTTGGGCTTGCACCTCGGACAGCCTCGAAAAAAGAGACCCATAACCTTTTCCCCGCGCATAGGGACGTCCCAGAAACATAAAATCTCAGCAGAGCCACAGCATCAGCTCAAGAACTTCCTCATGACTGGGGGTGAACGAGTTTCAGGACATGTCCATGACATCTGGTCCAGTGGATTACACGATGCCAGATTAAAAAATGGGGTCTGCGGGACCCCGAAGCTTGAGAAAATTGCACCACTGAGCGACGGAGATCCTCCACCCGCTCTTCTCAAGAAGTGGGGTCCAAAATTCTCCTCCTTTTAATTTTTTGAGAGGCAGAGGGCTCCTGGTGGCTGGGCAATCGCGGGGCTGCCCGTGCCTACCTGGTACAACCCCCCCCCCCTCAGTGTAATGTGCTGGAGTCAACTGGGGGTCTGTCGGGCCGGTCGACCGGCCGGTCCGACCGGCAGGCTCCCAGTTGGGGAAGGGGCCCCCAGTCCAACCAGGGACCAGCCCTGGTCTTTTTTTCAGGATTTTTGTCCAACAGGCAGGACTTCTGACCAAACAGGCACAGGTTTGTCCCGCTTGTATCCTTGGTGTATACCATTTCATGTTTTCGGCCCGCTCCTCTGTCTGTTGCTGGGCCTGTGTCCGACTTTTTGTGCTCAGGCCAGTTCATGGTTCAGGCCCAGCTGCCCAGACAACAAGGTAGCGTCTGGAGCTGAGTAGGGACTCAGCCCAGTAGATTTTGGGCTGGGCAACTCAGAAGCAGACGGCTTCCTTTCCAGGCCATCGGATCTTGGTCCAATAGTATAGCTTGGGATGGAGGACGGTTCGTTGTTGACTGACCCAATAGCATACATAAGAGTCGGCCCAGTAGTAGGCAGGTGCACTTTCTTTCAGTCGTGTGCCTCCAGGCTGTGAGCGAGAGTAGAGAAGCAGCCTACCGTTAGAGTAAGATTAGCACTGGTAGAGCTACTCTAGCTTGGAGGTCACTCACATGGCACCACATCTTGGAGGTCCACCACCGGCCATAGTCAACCTTCTCCCAGACATCTGCAGTATGTCAGCAGCTCCAGACTCTTCCTTTCACCAGTTAGTATCATCCCACAGAGAAGGGGAGAGAGAGAGAGAGAGAGAGAGAGAGAGAGAGAGAGAGAGAGAGAGAGAGAGAGAGAGAGAGAGAGAGAGAGAGAGCTGGAGATGAAGAGACTGAGGTGGAGGCAAGAATATTATTATTTGGTTTTGCCATAACATTGACTATTCTTCTTCATCTCCCACCTCGCACTTCGTTAGCGTATGATTACAGCAGGGAGGCTGTGTTTAGACGCTCCCCCAGCTGGCGTGAGATTGGATCTGAGTTGCATTGTCATTTGAGCGTATTGTCAGGTCAATCCTGTCTGATTTCAGTCTTTCACAGTGTCCTGTTATATCTCTTCCTCATGTGGGTGGTCTTGGACTTCTCATCGACTTGGATCATTATTGGGCATCCATCGCGCATCCATCGCTTGTCCTCGGGTTTCCCCAACCTATTGGCCACTATCAAAATCCTTGATTGCTCTCCCTATCACCATCCCAACCACCTACCGAGAGGAAGATAGAAAGACATAGAGAGACAGGCGTGCAGACAGATAGAAGGCATAGACATCCACTAGGGACTCACCTGTTCCCAACACCAGTGCCACTGTCACCCACTGCCAGCCAGCCAGCCACGCTCCGCCAGGACACATATGCACCAGAGAGGCCAGCTACAGCACAGTCCTCCAAAACATATCGCAAAATCATTGAGAAGCACAATGGCAGTAGTGTAAACATGGGGCCAGAGTGAGAACACTGAGAAGGGCACCACACCAGTCCACGGACAGAAGGGTTAGCATGAAACGAAGACAAGGGCGGGGAAGTAGATGATGGACAGAGCAATGGTGCACACTGCACAGAACGAAAGCCAACGGTGTACGAAATGCAGAGTTGTGGCAGTAAGAACTGGAATGGTTTGCATGGTCAAAACAGTTCATACACACCATTTCTTATGAGTCTGTTTTGAAACAACGAGTGTTCTTTTCTGTGACTTTTTCGTCCTTTTGTGAAAATCTTGCTTCCTGCTGGAATGTGACAAGCAACAGCACGTGTTCCCTTTTGTGCATCTTTCGCCATACGTTGCACGTCGTCCGGAGGCCAAAGCCCAGGTTGATCACCGCTTCTGGCACCTTCTTGGACCAAACCGTGGTGAATATGACCCATTTGGTGGCATTTACACCATTTGACATTCGCTCCCACGTTACCTCAACAACCAACAATTCATGGGGTTCCCTTTCCCACCAGGTTGGAGAACCTGACCTCGAGTTCCATGTGAAGGTATAAGGGGGAACTCGGTGTAGGGCAAAAGAGGGATCAAATGAGCGAGTCATCCATTTTCAGAGAAGGTCCTCATATTGGAGTTCTAAATATGACTTTCGCCTTTTCCTCATGCGCATAGCAAAACAGTAATGTAGTAGTTAAACCACCAGTACACGCCTCACATTTGCCACGGGCCCCTGTCAGAGGCCAAAACGCGACGCAGGCCGCCGACTTATTTTATCGATGGCGTGCCGGTGCCAGCTTTTTCACACCAGGTGACCAGGCGACAAAACATTTTCAGCAAGGCTGGGGCCGTGTACTGGCAGTTCAAATGTGAGAAATTCACAGCTAGCCAACTTTAGCAATTATCATTCAACTTATTAAAAGAATGTCAAACACACAACTGCTGGCAGACACACGCTCTTGGCTAAGGGTTTGCCCCAAACAATTGTGGTACCAGCAGTGGACATGAACTCACATGAGCATGGTCGCAGCGCGCTTGCTGCAATCCCCCACTTCATTGTCATAGTGTGCCTTAAATTCTTGATTTGCTTGGTATCGTATTATCTAAACAGTGCAGCAAATGGATAAAAACACCCAGAATAAGTAGACCAAATTTTCTGAAGTGGTGGTACATGTGCAAGGAACCACTCGATGAGAAAAAAAATTCCAGAAGTGAGAGACACCAAAGCAGAACAAGCATATAAGAGCAAAGTCGAAAGCAGATTTACAAAGCAGAAATCACACCAACCGAGAAATTGAGAACACACATGCACCTAAGTCTCTTAATATAGAAAGCCCAACCTTATGCCTCCAACTATCAATACAATGACAGTTTGCTTCTCTCCCCTCCGGATATGATCCGAGGAGGTCTTTCTTCTTCTTCAAGAGAAGCCCATTTCAGCAATATGTTGTGACCACCTATACTCTACATACCACCCTATTTCCTGTCCAATTCTTCTTCCTCCCCAACGGGGCAGCAGAGTCTGACCACGACACGTGCTCTTCAGCCACTTCCAGGCAAGTCCCATCGCTGTTCTCTTCCCTTGTTCTCCCGGTCCCTTCACAACCCACTTGCATCCAGCGCAACTATGGGTGCCACTGGTAGAGCCACCTCTTTGTTGTTGTCCCAGGTTCTACCTCTAAGCTGCGTTAAAATTACCACACTGCGGCCTGCAACCTGTGAAGTACCGAATGTGCCTTTGCAGCGGCCTTCAGTGTGTTTGTCAACTGAGGGAGGCCGCGGTAAGTTTGTGTGGACTGAGCCTTCCTTCTTGGGCCTTCTCTTAGGGCCCAATAATTATTCTTACATCATGGCCTTCACTTAGGGTCGGGCAAATTTTCTGCACGCGGCCCTGCTGGAGCCTTGCACTCCCAGCACTCCCACCCCCTCAGGTTCAGAGCTCTCTGCAGAACCCTGAATCTTCGTGTTGTTGCTTACCTTTAAGAGCTCTCTCTTTATGTAGAACCACTTGAGGTGCAGACTTGATTAGCTCTTCTCTTGTAAACCACTGGTCTTCTTTAGGATCCAGATGACCCTTGAAAGCCACTCTGAACTGCATCTGTGGCTTCGGTGGTCCACCTCTGCCCTGTGGTTTCTCCACAGGCATCTATCTCCCTGTGCTGCAGAGTTCAATCAATGTCAACATATCCTCCGCTCATGGTTGGCGGCAGCATCAATCTGCAGGAAGGAAACTGACCGCTTTCTGAGAAAGGTAAGAGGTTGGATGCATGAAATACAGTGTACGTGCGAAGATGAGGCAGGTATTCTATCACATAAGATGGCCCATCAGGATCATTACCTACAATGTCTATGACAGTCCAGGGACCGGAATACTGCAGTGTCAGCTTGCATGATATGCCGTGCGCGGACACAACTGTGATGATCTAACCTAAGCTCTATCACCTACCTGAAACATGGACTTCCGCTGGTGTTTGTTTTCTGAATCAACCGTTGCTTTCTGTGGCTTCTCTAACTGTTCAACAGTCCCTTCCATCATCTGTTCATACGTAAGGGCATATTCTACTGTTCTGAACGCTAACTATGGCTTCTGGTCTGGGAACAAGAGGTCAAGAGGTGTTATCGGTTTCCAACCCGAGTGCAATTCATTAGGTGTCAGCGCAGCTATCTGAGGCGCTCTTGCATCCCTGTCAAGTTGATCAGGAGAAATGTAATGCAGTAGCTGCTGCACTACTTTCTTAACCTGGTCAACCTGTCCACTAGATTCACAGTGATTCCCTGATGTCATCTTGAGTTGTGAACCGAGCTTTACAGCTAGGTTCAGCCATTGTTCACAAGTGAACCTAACATCTCTGTCGCTTACAATGCTGTTTGGTAATCCAAAGTCTTGGATCCAGTTGTTCTGAATTCAGTTATAACTACCTCAGTTTTAGCAGTAGCTGGCAGCAGTATGAATCTAGCTAATTTTGAAATTTGTCAACTATAACCATAATGATGGCATAATCTGATTTTTCCCATTTCTGCTGGTAACCAGCATAACCATGAAGTCCATGGCCAGATGTTGGCTTGGTCCTCCAGGTATGGGAATAGGCTTTAACAAGCCAAGAGATGCCTCCAGGTATGGGAATAGGCTTTAACAAGCCGAGACATGCCGGTTCCCAAGCCTACAGGCAGAGGTCGACCTCCGAAACCGCAGATGCATATCCAGTGTGGTTCAGACACCAAATCGATGTGTGAAGGAAGATCGGACAGTTCACAAGAAAAGAGTTGATGAAGACTGCCCCAGGTTATTTCCGGATATGAAAGAAGACTGAAGGGAAAGCAGCCTGCTGATTAGGGGCTTCTCAGAGAACTATCGAAGTGAAGGAGGAGGGAGTGCAAGGATTTAAGGCCTCTGCATACCTGTATGTGGCCCCTACAGCAAGCATGTGCCCGCCCTCAGTGAAGGCGGGCCCCTGAATCTCAGTAAGTCCTGAATTCTTCAATTTCGCAAAGCCCTGGGTGGGCATCAGAGTTGCCATGCGCCAGTTGGTTACATCTGCCCTGCTCGTGAGAATCAGAAACATTTGTGAGCCTTCTAGGCTCTTCTAGCTACACAGGGGAATCAAGGAACACCTCAAGTTTGTGAGTGGGTGGTTGGGCACGTCTAACCAATTCAATCCCAGGTAGCTGTCTGAATCTGGCCTGGGCGCAGACACTTTGGCCCAACGTGAAGCTACTGGGCACATGGGCCACCCGGTGCAGGCAGCCTACGGGCCTGTCTGCTTTCCATATAGGAAAGAGCCTGGCAGCGAGGGAGTTATTTCATGCGCTGGATGCACTTGCGGCAGCACTGCCACTTTGGGCGCTGGTAAGCCGCTGGCTGGCAGTGTGCGTGCACACGCGGGTGCAGGTTGAAGACAGGGCACTGCTGAGCAGCGCCATAGCCCAGGCTACCAGGGCAGACAAAGCTGGCGGGGATTGGGGGTGGTCTTTGCGTGGTGAAGGGCCGTGGATGGAGATGACGAGGGTGAGCATAGAGAGGGCGAGTGTGGGAGTGATGTGAGAGCACGCACCTGGTCCTGGCGGAGGTCTGCAGGGTCAGCATCTGCATGTAATTTGGTCGCTGCTGCTGACGTGAACTTGTTGCTTGGTCATGTCTGTAGGCTAGAGTAGTGACTGTAGGAACGTAGTCTGGGCGCTGAGCGCCAGTAGGAGGAAGAGCTGCGAGTACATGGTTGGTGGTGGCTAGGGAATGCTTTCATTGACAATTGAGTTCACTGCTTTGTTTCTCCTTCGGTGTGACATCAGTGCATTTCTGCTTTCTGGACATTTTCCGACTATCTGGCTTTCAATGTGATTTTGCAATCTGGAATTCTGTCATTTCGTGCTCATTTTCCTTGCAGAAGAGAATTCGAAGCCTGAAAATGAATATATGGCTAATATAAAATTCACAATATAGATAAGATATACATCCGTTATATGGATTCTCTTAGAAAGAATGGTTTTCAAATTCAATAGAATCAAAATGAGAGAGAAGAGTCGGCAAAATCTAACACATCACAATATAGTAATATACACAAATATTATATCGTCACAAATAGAACTGCCCGGTAAACCGTAGGCAGAGAGAGAGAAGAGGACAACAAACGAGGGGTTGTGACAAACTATATATTATATTTCAAATAATATTTGTGTATATTGTGATGTATTAGGTTTTGTTGGTTCTATACTACAGTGAAAAAGTAGATAAACACAGAAACAATACTATAGAGTAGCTAAGAATAGTTTATAGATAAGAATAATTTTCTATAAACTTTAAAAATTAAAACTACAGATTTATTTCACTCATTGTTCTGACACTGATGGGCAAGCTCATGAGACCCAACGTCAGCAAGCAAATTCAGGAAGATATGAGAACTCCTTCCACGGTGGGGGTTAGTTCCTGGGTCTAGTAAATTTTGGCTGCCTCTATAGCTGGTAGATGTCGGTTGGCCGTTCCTACGGTACTTAGACATGGGTTGCTGTGCTTAGACATCTAGGTAGGTAGCATGCGGTATAATTTGAGACAAGAGTCCGGCTTGGTTATAAAAAATAAAAAAAGATACAGGAAATCCTGTAGGCAGGGAGCCCTAATAAAATGCATGATAAGGCACTTGGGCCAGACACATGCACATAGACTCAGGAAGGCCTGTTGTCATGTTCGTTATGCACAACTCCACAAAAAGAAGCAAGACTGTGCCAGACTGTTCTAAACACCTTTCACTGACTCCTCAGGAGGTTGAACCCCGATAGTCTGCCCAAGATGCATTTGACTGATGGAGAATGACACCACATCCCCCAGAGTTAGCTACACCCCTGAGAAAAGTGGTAGACTTTACTCACACCAACCCTGCAATCCTAGTAGGCTGTCAGTCCAAACCCCTGACAAGAGTGGAGTAAGGTATGTGTGTGTGTGTGAGATTCAGTTCCACCTCCCTCTTGCCAGGGGACGGAATGCATACAAGAGAGGTAGACGAGCACCATTTGACAAAATAATGACAAGCGCCACAAGACAGATTTGAAAGGCAGGCAAGAGAAAGTATGGCAATGCATTATTCTTTCCTAATGATCCCACCTGGAGACGCTCCCGGTCTTCTGGGACTTGGTTACTAAGTAGTCCAGCATAGAAAATGGCCCTGAAGTCGACGGCTTGCACAACAGGGTCATTCATCAATGACCCTGTCATGAACATGCTGCTGCTTGTCCGATTCTGCAGAATCCACAGCAAAAACGGGAGGCAGACGGTAAATGAACCACCAGTCTCAGCATCCTTTGCTTGTATGATACATTCGGTTGTGAACCATGCAAGAGAACAAAAGCTAATGCCATCTGATTCAAAGTGCAGCTTTCTCTCGCCTCACTATCCACAATGGCCCTGTACTATTCCTGTTCCTGTGGCCTTGGAGAAATCCGTCTACTCCAGAGGCCTTGTTTCGCAGAGCCTGCACTACATTTCACATACACCTAGATAGCCTTGACCATAAGCCATTTCATTTTTCACAGGAGGGGCTAGCACAGCTCGGCCTGTGTGAAAGGGAGTTGGATGTGGTGCAATCAAGGGCAGGGGGCTGG